TAAAATGGCTTAAAAAGCAGACGAATGTTCATAGATAATCAGTTAAAACTTCATATAAAATAAAAAGGAAATTACCATGACTTTCCATAAACGCACTTCTCAGTCTTAATTTACTATAGAATTTGAAGGTTGCTGTATAGAATACATTTTAGATTATTGCGCCTTAAAAAAGTTTCCGGAATATCACACCTTGTTCTTCTATTTAATAAGCGATCTAGTTATCCCTTAACCCCCGTCATGATTTTAAAATGGCTTAAAAAGCAGATGAATGTTCATAGATAATCGATTAAAACCTCATATAAAATGAAAAGGAAATTACCACGACTTTCCATAAACGCACTTCTCAGTCTTAATTTACTACAGAATTTGAAGGCTTCTGTATAGAATACATTTTAGATTATTGCGCCTTAAAAAAGTTTCCGGAATATCACACCTTGTTCTTCTATTTAATAAGCGATCTAGTTATCCCTTAATCCCCGTCATGATTTTAAAATGGCTTAAAAAGCAGACGAATGTTCATAGATAATCAGTTAAAACTTCATATAAAATAAAAAGGAAATTACCATGACTTTCCATAAACGCACTTCTCAGTCTTAATTTACTATAGAATTTGAAGGTTGCTGTATAGAATACATTTTAGATTATTGCGCCTTAAAAAAGTTTCCGGAATATCACATCTTGTTCTTCTATTTAATAAGCGATCTAGTTATCCCTTAACCCCCGTCATGATTTTAAAATGGCTTAAAAAGCAGATGAATGTTCATAGATAATTGGTTAAAACTTCATATAAATGAAAAGGAAATTACCACGACTTTCCATAAACGAGCTTCTCAGTCTTAATTTACTATAGAATTTGAAGGTTGCTGTATAGAATACATTTTAGATTATTACGTCTTAAAAATGTTTCCGGAATATCACACCTTGTTCTTCTATTTAATAAGCGATCTAGTTATCCCTTAACCCCCGTCATGATTTTAAAATGGCTCAAAACGCAGATGAATGTTCATAGATAATCGGTTAAAACTTAATATAAAATAAAAAGGAAATTACCACGACTTTCCATAAACGAACTTCTCAGTCTTAATTTACTATAGAATACATTTTAAATTATTACGTCTTAAAAAAGTTTCCGGAATATCACACCTTGTTATTCTATTTAATAAGAGATCTAGTTATCCCTTAACCCCCGTCATGATTTTAAAATGGCTTAGAAAGCAGATGAATGTTCATAGATAATCGGTTAAAACTTCATATAAAATGAAAAGGAAATTACCACGACTTTCCATGAGCGCACTTCTCAGTCTTAATTTACTATAGAATTTGAAGGTTGCTGTATAGAATACATTTTACAGTATTGCGACCTAAATTTTTCCTGAATGGACACAATAAAATATGACTAAAATATTATATAAACAAGAAATAGCGATGGCTTAAATGAGATTTAAAATATAATAATATTGCAAATAAATATATTTTTATTACTTTTTTCCCTTCAGATCTCACATAAGTTGCATCATAAAAAGGAATGTTTACGTTCGTGTAGCTACTCTCGAAAATAATGCACTTATTGAATGAATGAAACACCCAAATAAAATTCATCCTTGACCAAAAAAGACAGAACGGTTGAAAAAATAGCAACATGATTATTAGATTAAAAGAGCTTTACAACAGGAAACGACATCTTTTTCCTTATTTTACTTGCTTCCTTAGAGTATTTTAAAAGCAGTTTACAGGCGTCTTGATTACTTCCCAGTGTCTATTAGACAATTTTCTTTATTAAATATAACCTGATGATGGTTAACTAATGTAAAATAAATTATATTTGTTTGTTTCCCAAATTTTCACATGGATAACTGTTAGTTAATGTTTTTTAAGGAGTTTATCAAATGTGTGAAATTGGAGTTTGAGTTTTTCATATTTTTAAATGTACTGACTAGACAGTTCATAAATTTATGCTTTTCTTTGCAAATTAGACTTTTTATTTTACGGTAGGTAAACTTAGAAAGAATATTTATTTAGATGAGAAATTATTAAACGCCAAATTTAACATAAATATATAATACTCCATATATTTATTATTTTTTTAAAAAATGTTCGAAATATACATCAATAATACATGATAAAAATAAAAAATAAAAAATGTTTATCACTTTTATGTAACTATAAAAAATCAAACCAAATCAAAACATTTAGTAAATAAAATTAAATCATTATTTAAGATCAAACTAACTTGTTATTGTAGTTAATACTCATAATAAAAGTAGTTTATACTTAATATCAGTAGTTAATACTGAGTGGTGTGACTGTCTATGCAGAGCTAAAACCATATTTTGTCCATCTCAGTTTTCTGACCATGAGCTCAAGGGTGCAGGAGCAGATAATCCGTTTGGGTGATCAGCAAAACGCGGAAAAACTAGTGTTTACTCCTCTAGCATATTTAATAAGGACAGGATATATCTTGCCAGGTCTGAGGATAAAACCATGAACCTGTGGCACGGGACCACGAAGGAGTCTATATATATATCAGTCTATGCAAGGGTAATTAATAGTTAAGATTTATGAAAATAATGTAATACACTTCTTGCTTATTTTCTAAGACGTTTGATAATTAAGTTCTTAGTGTTGGCTAATTTGGTTCATTTGTAAATAGATTAAAGTTTTTTATTTAATTGAGTCACTTTACGTATCTGAATTCCTTTACCCAAAATGGGAAAAAGCGCCGGTTTTATTTATTTATTTTGCAAACTGACAATTCCAGCAAGTTTCATACTTCTTATTATAGAAACAAGTATGTCGTTTTTAATAAATCAATGCGAGCTTTTTTAAAAACTTGTTTTTACGAAGTACTTGTTTGGTATCGTACGAATATTTCTGCGCAAACAGCAAAAAAGAAGAAAAATAAAAACTCAGATTATATTGATGAAATTGATCTGAAAAAATATTTTAGGAAAAGCTCTAATTTTATTTGTATAAAGAATGTATATCGAAATTCAGATTTATTCAAATAGTTGATTTAAAGAAAATGTTCTTTTTGCGAAATGTTCATTTTTGAGGAAATCCATCCAAAAAAGAACAATTTGTAAGGTCAACGGATGGTACAAAGAGATTCAGAAAAAGCATAGAAATACTTCTAATGCAGCAAAATCAAAAATGAAAATATTGAAGATTCTTTAGAATGTGAAATTAATAAAGAAAACAATTATATCTATGAGTTTTGGTCAAATATAAGGAAATTACACACATGAAGCCAATTAAAATTTGATTAAATGTTAAGCCTTTAAAATTGTTGTTTTTATTAAAAAAAATTTTTTCATTTTATAGGTGGATGATAAAGAGTGGCATAAAATTGACTTGAGTGTACGAAGAGATAGAGTGACATTATTTATTGATTGTCAACCTCTTGGAATTCAACCAATTGATATCAGAAGACCCATTGACGTTAATGGAGACATTATGGTTACCAAGTTTGACGATTCTATGACTGTGCAGGTAAAAAATTATTATTATTCAAAATCAAAATCAGGTTAAGTTAGAATTTTTACCACATTGAATGAACCTCTGCAGATGATCAAAATTGTGATGGTTTGTGTTTTTGGATCATCCTCAGGGATGTTTCCCAGACCGTCGCCAATAGCCCATTATGCAGCTCTAGTGCGACGTAAATTAACTACAACAACAACATCGCACAATCATAATTTTTATTTCCATGAATTTTAACGAGCATTTTTTATGGGCCTCCTATTCGCGAAACAAACTGGAATTTCTCAATTTAATTTAAATCCGGAGAGTATGGAGGCAAAAATGAAACTTGTTCATTACAAACTTTGCTCTAAGATTCTGCAATTGCTCACTTGCCAAATTTGCGAAAATGCTATCACAATTAATTTCTGAGAATCATTCTTAATTTCGTGAAGGAAAAGACAGCTCAACTCCCATTTCTGTATTTCTTTTACCGACTTCCTCTTGAAAAAATTAAGAAAATAAAGGAACATTATGGTATGAGAAAGAAAAAAAAAACAAAATTTTTAAAAGCTTAATTTTTGAGTGAAAGAAAAAACGAAAAAATAAGTAAAAATTCCAGAAACTGAAATAATTTTCCTTTTTCAAGGCATCAAAAATTTTTGTAAGCCACAAGAAGTCTAGTTGTTTCGGTAACTTTCAAAAACCTATTAACTATGAAAATAAAAAGCATGCATTCGATTTTTGAAATTTCTTTTTTAAACCAAGCTTAGATCCTCTAATAAAATATTTTTAGATATATTTATTTACGATGTAATACCATTGTACTGAGGGTTTCGTTGATTTCATTTATTGCTTTTGATTATTTAAATAATATTTGCATTCAGTATGTCATCAGTTAGTTAAAAACAACGTTTTATTTAAAAAAAAATTCTATTTAAAGTACATTTTAATTCACATAAAGTTGCTAAGAAATTAATCATAAATAGTATAGTAATAAATATTATTCACAAGGTGTGTTTTCAGTGTTTTTAATTAAAATTTAATAGTCTAAATTAGAGATTCTCTCCTGCAAAATTTCTACAAATGCATACAATTGCTGTTAAAACGAATTCGAGTTACGCATTATGGTAGCATGTAATTCAAGCAAATGAATGGATTATGATTAATATTTATTTATGTAATTTATGATTAATATTTATTTATGTAATTTTTTGATAGACAGAGCTTCAGTGGATGGTGATACATTGTGATCCCACAAGATCCCAAAGAGAAACGTGCATCGAATTGCCAGTAAGTTTTTGTTTAAATTTTTGTTTTACAATAGTAAGTTTTTGTTTAAATTTTTGTTATACAATAGTAAGTTTTTGTTTAAATTTTTGTTATACAATAGAATACAATTAGTATAAATGCCTAAACTTGCATTTGTTTGATGGTTTAATGTAAGCGTTATAATTGGTTATTATTGAAGTAAAAATTGTAATGTGAGGTATTAAAACAGGGTGTTTCATAACGACCACCCTTAATGTTTACTTTTCCCATCTTTAAAAAAAATGAAATACAAAAAGAAATTGAGTTCGAACAAAAACAAAAACAAAATCGCTATCGAAATCTGTGAAATCCAAGCAAGAAAGACGAAAAAGAAGAACTTCAAAGCCAGTTTAATTGGAGGTGTTTCAAATATACGCCATTCAACTCTCCTCTGTTTTCTCCGGTAATCAAACAGGTTTTGATGTTTTCAGTCTTGTCTTGTTTAATGTTCATGTAAATTTCAATACTGTATTTTTTTTCTCTGCTTGATTATTAGTTTGTAACTTCTAATGCGAAAAACTGCAGTTCGGTTTTTACTAGGATTTTTGTGTATCGTTTTTTATGGCGAATACAATTTAGCTCATATAACTGATAATTTAAACCGGGATAAATTTTTAAGGACTTACAAAAATATTTAAGTTCCACTTTTAAGTTTTTAATAAAGAAGAAAAAAGAAGCTTTTTGTTTATTCGGGAAATTTTTTATACCTTCGAAAACTTTACTATAAATGGCAGAAATGCTTTTATTTAGGTGCTTAAATAATTACGTTTGATAATAGTGTTTCCTAGTTCAGGTGCAAATAATAGTTTAATTGTGATAAAACTGTTTCTAGTCGATACTAACATTTCAAAGCATAAGCTTTTAGCTTTTATTTTCATTTCAATTGCTTGAACTTACTCTGGATTATTGAATCTTGAATCTTTGGATCTTGAACTTATCAATTAAAAAAAATCTAACTCTTTAACTTTTCTTAAACAGTAGCAAAAATTGGTTATAGCATTTATTAAAATACCAAATTGAATTTGGTTTCAATAAGAGCTTCAAACTCAAAATATTATTCTTGAATTTAATAGATTCCAGACAAGTTTCTTCTAATTATATTTACTTTTCTTTAAAATAACTCTCCTCAGTAATTATTGTTTAAGGATATCCACTCATATATTTTGTATGTTAATACAAACAGATCTGTTGCTCTATTTTACATGAAGGTAATCTTCTTAATAACAATTCACAATAATATTCATAATAATTCATAATAATGCAAAACTATCGTAAAAACAAATAGAAATTATGTATCTATTTACTTATTTTTTTAACCGATTTTTAACAAATTTCTTTATAATATATAAAAAGATTTACGTAATGAAAATCTATGTAATTATTTAAAACTATCATTGTGAGAAGTATGGATTGAATACATTTTGAGCAATAACAATTTAAATAAGAAATTTTATAAAACCTTTTGTTTTAAATATTTTGTTTGGTTAACAGTTCAACGAATCTATTAAAACTTTAGTTAAAAAATGGTATTGTTTGAACATGAAGTAAAAAGTTTTGAGCCTTATAATTGAAATATAAAATAAAAAATGAAAAAAAAAATCCATGAAAAATTAAAAAAAAAAGCGATTTTAAAATATACATAATTTTTTTTTAAAGTTTTTGAGTCTTACGATTTTGTTTCTGAAAAAAAATCGTTGCTACAATATTTGCAGGAAATTGAGGCAAACTAGTGGTAAGTCAAACAATTTCACAAGAGTTTTCGCTGACATTTCTAATGTTGGGTATATTTTTATTTATTGCTGATTTTAGCTTATCATTTAGCAATACATAAAATCTTTATATATAATTTTTATCTTTTAGTTAAGGAAAAGAAACACTACCGTTTGCGAAGCTTGCCCGCCAGGTCCAAAAGGTGCCGATGGAAAACCGGTAATTTTCTGTTTGTGCTTTGCATGTAAAGGAAGGCCTGCAAATTAATATATATTATTAGAATTTTTTTCCAATAACTTTAATATTATAACTTTGTATCAGGTTGGTAAGAAAATAAAAAAAAATTTACTTAAGCAAAATCTGACGAGTCATTATCGAGATCAATCAAAGCTTAGGTAGAATATTAATAATAAAAGTCAACTTATTTGGGAAAGGAGATTTAAGAAAAGAGGAAAGTGATTTAAGTGTGTTTGCACTTCCTTCCCGCCGATTAACCGTGCCCTGCCGCCAATTTAGATCACCATTGCCTATGTGACATTTTCTGCCTGATGGAGAACCAGGCATAGCAAATCGGACAGATGATATTGTAACAGCTTATTATTATAGCTATATATATATATATATATATTAATTGGGGCAACAACATACTTTAAGTAACTTATAGCCACTTTACTAAGCATGCATACCATTATCATGATTTTGTTCATGATTTTAGATTTTAGTTTTAAAATTAAAGAATTTTAATTAATACTTTGTTTGTACGCACATTATTTAATCTCCATTTCTGAGATTTATTAGTTGAACTTAAATTAAAATTAATACATCTTTTTTTAATGAAAGCCACATTTGGGTGAGAAGCTTCAATTACTACTTGTTGTATAATTATATTTTGTCCGCACGTAGTTCAGAACAGTTTATCTTTTATTTAAATTCGAAGCTATTACTTTTAATAATGTCTTTTGATTTTTTACATTTTTGCTTAAATATAGCTGAAATTATTTCGCTTGCTTCTTTTTCAGGGTCCTCCGGGTTCTGCTGGTCTGCCAGGAGAACGTGGTCCTCAAGGCTGGCCTGGTATTTCTGGAGCAAGAGGTGAAGCTGGACCTTCTGGACTACCTGTAAGCAAGAATAATTATTAGCCTTATGAAATATTCATTATTTCCTAAATGTTCTACCTATTTCAAGGAAGAAACGATAAGTTTCTCATCCCATTTGCAATTCTATAATTGCAAATTAATGATTTGCCTGCTGGAATTTGGCATGTAATAAAAAGAGTTTTCTTCCATATAGTTAAGAGCGCACCAAATATAGTGATCCAGAATTCAATTAGCCCTAATACAGTGTGATTTACGAGTAGTTTAAAGCGTTTGTGTGAATATATTAGACATTTTCATGGCGCTAACTTTTCAATAACCTTAAGTCAAATCATTTGAGAGACAAACAAGTGTTTTGATTTATACTTTGTTTATTTGGTGTTGATTTGTTTTACAATTAATTTAAATGATAAAAAGTAATTCAGTAAATAAACACTATACTGTACCTATTTAAATCTGAATAATTCCCGCAATGGACTGATCGCTATAACACGGTTCCCAGCAGATCACCGAAGTCAAGTATCACTGGCTGCGGTCAGTGTGCGGGTGGGTGACCACTTGGATCAGTCTGCGTAAGGTCCGAGGGTGTTCGGTATTGGTTCTCGTTAAACTGTTCTACCGTAAAGTACTCGACTTCACGTGCGGATCGTCGGGCTACCGAAGCGGAGGTGCCACCCCCTTTGCAAAAGGATCGAAATTGTGATGGCATGTCTCCGGATCATTCTCAGGGATGTTTCCCAGACCGTCGCCAATAGCCCATTGTGCAGCTCTAGTGCGACGTAAATGAACTACAATAACAACAATTAAGTCTGAATAAACTGCGTGAGCTGTTGAGGCGGATTTCCACTACTGCGAGGTAATTTACGCTACTGTCCCCATTGCGATTTTTCAATCCAGCGACTCAGAACGACTCACTCTCCTGCATGAAATTTTCGTATTTTTTTAAAGAAAAATAAATTACGAAATAAAAAAAGAAGGAAAAACTTGCTTTTTGCTTATTTTTTAGTTCAGATAACGAATTTCAAAAGAGACAAGATTTTGTATTATAATTCTGACCAATTCTAGTCAAGAGGAAAGTTACCAAAAAAGTGAGCGAGTCGTTCAAGGCCACTGGATTGTAAGTTAGCGTCTCGATATCCTGTCCCAGGAATAAGAGAATGGGACACATTTTAAATCTAAAATATTGAAATACATTTCTGTGTTAAAGTGCTGAAAAAAATCGCAAATATAAAAAACTCTCAAAAACATAATTTAAATTTATGTTGTATTAATTTTAATTTATTTTTGAATCTTTAAACATATTCTACATCAGTTATTATAATCATCTTATACCAAAGTTTCAATTTGTGATCCTGCCTGTTTTTAATAAAATTTTTAAATTGGTTAATAAGATTATAGCATTTGATGTTAATTATGAACCACGATTGTGCTTTACAATTTAAGTACATAAATACACTAAAATTTCAATTAGAATTTACCTTATTAAAATTTTTGCAGGGACGACAGGGCCCATCTGGACCACCAGGAGTTGCAGGTTTACAAGGAACTCCAGTAAGAATACATGTGAATATTGCTTTGCAAATTTAACAACTTTACAGTGATGTATTATGTATTCGTATTTTAATTTTAGGGAGCAGCGGGCAGTAAAGGCGAAGTTGGATTTCCTGGTCTCCCTGGCAAACCTGTGAGTTTTCAGTAAGCAAGCTTTCTTAAATAAATTTTAAAATGACGTTTAGGAAATTGCATACAACAAAAATAAAGCGTGATAACCAATACTTTAAAATATACATACTCTCACACCAAATTTTATTTCCAAACTATAAAATTTCGTATACTGAATAATCTCAGTTTTTTTAATAAAGTCCTGATATTTTAACAGCTACGGGCTATATTGAATTATAGTATTAGCGCTAATTTATTTTAATACAGCATTCTAATTTTATTATAAATATGCTTTTAACTTCCAAGATTTTTCTCAACTATGTATTGCAATACTTGAATTTAGTTAATTAAGACTCCATAGTAATGTAATTTTTTGTAGTTTCTTATCCCGCTTGATCTACAATATTTAGGTTTTAGGAATATTTCGATCCAGACCATGGCGTTGAGTTTTAAAACAAAGAGAATTGCTTCAGAAATGGAGTATAGCTGACTCACATAACAATCAATGCATTTTAAGGTATAAATTGCAAAAAAGGATACTTAAATTTCATGAAGCTTTCTTCGTTTTTAACGAAATTATTTCCTGGTGCATGCTCAAGGCAAACATTTCGTCAGAGTGACGAAATAACTATCGTCACTTCTTCGAGGAAACGAATTTCGCCATTATTTAAGAAATATTTCGTCATTCTATTCCCTCCCCCCCAAAAAAGTATTAAACCTTGTTGTGCTTCGTGTATCGATCTTTCCTAATAATAAGTTTATCTTGGTTACCATAAAGCTGGGCCAATGACAACTTAAGAACAGGAGAATTGAACCCGGAACCTTTTTCGTAAGAGGCCAATTCTTCGTCCATCATAGAAGCCAGGCTGCTAATTTCCTCACTTTATTTTCGATCATCTAATATTCATCATAGTTTCGCCATTTTAGTTAACAGTCTTCCACAACGCACTACGATGAAGTTTCAAATTAAAAAAACATTTTTGTCATATATTTGAGAGTTCCTCTTTCATCACAAATCACGTGAATCACTAGTAATTCTCAAAATTAGCGAAATATAGTTCAAGGATTGCTGAATCGTCAAATGTTATTTCGGACAGTACAGCTGGAGTCTGATTGCGTTTTGGGCAAAGAGGATAAATTGCCGATGCATGTTATAGAGCATGAAGATTACCACTGGAGCCCATAAAGGCCACTTGTTTGCTCATACTGCGTAAATCAATCATAGCAGCACCAGTAGCACCAGACCTTAAGAGTAACCTCACTAGATAGTCTATTTGCAATCAACTATAGACACCAACGTGTGAAGGGACAAGCTGAAAAAATATCTTATTAACCCCTTCCTTCTCGCTCCCTTGAAAATGACGGGTGAAATTTCGCCCTCTATTTCTCACTCCCGTGATATTGACGGGATGGAATGTTCAGTAGTAACGCTCCAATAAGAATAAAACTAATTCTTTTCTTTTGACCGGAAAACATTTTATTTCTCATTTTACACATCAGAGGGCAGTACCAGGATATTTTTAAGGTAATTGTAGATAGTTAGTTTATTTTAAAATAGATACCCGCACTAATCAAATACGTAATACAAATATAAAAGCCAAAAAAATAGCCACTTTTATGACAGTTTTCTTGAAAATTAACCGGTCGTTAAGGGGTTAAAGGCACTCCAACTCTCCAAATGGTAAACAATATTCACTGCCATTTTGTTACCATATTTTTACTACTCAACCAGAGGTTGAATGGAACTGTGACTACCACTCAGAATTCAGATATCATAACTGACAGTAGAAAAAATATTTTTAACTTTTTAAAAATTCCAACAGCATGAGCAATTATGGATCAAAACTCACAGAAATTGCGTATCTGTTCGAAGTATGTTGATTATACGAATTACAGACCTAATGATGAGAAGATTAAGTAAGTGAGAATATAGAGCAAAGACAGCTTCTACACTACAATTGCTATTCCAGGAAGATACTACAACACATTTCTGAAATTCCCATGAACATGTTAAAACATGGTATGATATGCAAACAATTAGATTTGCAGCACATTCATGTAATGCAGGTGGCAGTGGCAACGACCATAATGCATATGAAAGCAGAGGTTCAACAGCAATTTTCTTTTACTTAATTTTTATTTGAACATTATTTTCGGCTTAAAAAGTTAGTGTAAGGCCTCGTGTACGAAGAAGAAATTCCTACCAGCACGTCTCTGACTTTGATTCAAGAAGGATTACAGATTGCTGGATTTGCGGTTTATTTCAAAGCAGTGCTGCTGCTCACATTGGTCGTTATCCTTAATCTATCCACACTATATGGTCATACACTATGGTCATATATCTATCCACACTATATGGATACTATATGGTCATTATAAGTTTTAATGGTCTTCCCCCTGATAACAACCAAGGAGACGGCATCAGTTAGATTTTAATTACCATTTATAAGAAAGTATCTAGGATAATGATTGTAACGTTGCATTCTAACCATTAATGATTTGAAATTTACTTTGGCCAATAAAAGTAATTTGTATTGAATATATTAAATTCATTTCTGATTAATATTTCACAGTTATCTAAATTTTATTATCCGCTGGAATTTCATAGATATCAAACTAAACAAATCGGTTTAAAGTCAATACTATTTGGCATTTCTTATTATTGAAAAACACTCAGCGACAATATAAATCTACGAGTCATATTTTTAATAAATTTGAAGACACATGCTGCTATGTTTAATTTAGTTTGGTAAACTCGTTGGTTTTAAAAACGTTCCTGCATCAATAAGAGTTATCCTGCTTTTATTAAAGCTGGTTTTCTTGTAAAAAATACTTGATATTCTTTAGAAAGAAAATAGTTTTTGTAATAAAATTTTTTTTAAAAAATACAAAAGAAAGAAGATGTTATTTGATTATTATTTTGAAGAATAACAATAAAAATATTCCAATGCATGAAACTGCGTAAAAAAGGCTTGACTATTGTCTTATTTTGTAAAAAGTTTTGAAAAATATGTTTGGAAAATTTTTAGGGTGTTAAAGGTGAAAAAGGTGACATAGGAGATACTGGAAGAGAGGTAAGTTCAAATTTTTTAATAAGAATATAGTAGAACGATTAAATGTACAATTAACTTTTTTTTTGTCAAAAAGCATTTCAATATTAATAAATACGCATGGTTGTAACTCTTGTTACTGTATTATATAATATTTTTACTACTGTGCTTTGCTTAAAAAAAAAAGAACACATAAAAATATATTATGTCCAACATTTAACTATTTAAGAATCATGTACGGTATTAATGTCTTCATGATTGCTGTAACTCTTAACCTGCCTTTCACTCCATTTTATAAATAAAAAAAAAAGTCAGTGAAATGCAATGAAATGTTTTTTTTTTAAAGAAAAACTCTGCAAACAATACTAATATTTGAAAAAAAAAAGTTCGGAGAGTCGGGTTGCTGTTCAGTGCCATGGGTACAGGGATCAGGAGAAAATTTCTTTCCCCTTGAAATCTTTGTCTAAATTGAGAAGTTGTCCTTTCGAATGAGTGGTGCTGCCATGGGGTTCTGAGATAAGACATGTTTTCCCCCTTGCGGTGCTGTTTTGTCAAACGAAAGGCGCACCTTCCTGTCTTAATTCGCAAAAGGCTGATGGCTGGTGAGCTTGGCATGTACAAGTGTCATTAGAAATAGCAAAAAATAAAAAAACCTAAGATAGGTTTGTATTTTTCAGTTAAATACGTATTTTGCGTTACAAGCGCAATGTTGTTTATGTTTGGCGTCATATATTCAGCTTCTCACTTGTGGAAATTCAGTCAGTTAATTTCACATACATTCAATTAATTTCACATACATTCAGTTAATTTCACATACATTCAGTTAATTTAAGTTTATTTTTTAATTCAGCACAGATGCTGATCGCGGATCAAGTGTAAGAAAACTAAATCTAATTTCATTAAAATTTAAGACGGAAAATTACCATTACAAATTTGAGGAATGTTTCAAATTTTTTAGAAAAAAAATAGCAAACTGATGACATAAGCACGCACACAAAATTTTTTTTTTTTAAAAGCAAGACAACACAGAGCAGACAAATAACTTTAAGGAAATACCCAATCAGTACCATAAATGTTTAAGTATATCGGATTGCTGTAGGGTCTGTAAATGTGTAAAGCAGTGATATAACATTACTTATTCCTTCAAAGCTTTAACCATGAATATGTAAACTTTATAAAGTGTTCTTAAAGAACCCCTTTGAAAACTCTTAATGCATTTGACTAATATATCATTTTTTATTATTAATAAATTTTCTTATTTTATTTCAATTTTGCTACTTAGTAATAAAAATTTAAATTTAAAAATTTTGCTAGTTTGAAAAATAAAGAAATGTCTAATAAAAATTACTTCCATAAATATTTTTAATATTTTTTCTCATTGGCAACTTTTTATTATTTGAAAAGTAAATATTCCTTGGGTTGCTACAGGGATAAGAAATTTTTTTTTTCGAAAGGTGACCGTTTTACTTTGAGTTGTTTTTTAGTATTGTTTTCAGATGAGCACTATAAGAGTTTCTAAAATTCCCTCCAGATGGCACCACAAAACGCAGAAATAACTAATTGCCTACATGGTGTTCTTGATTTGAAACGCTCTTAACGTTTTTTTTTGAACAATTTGAAAATTATACTGCACAGGAGAAAATTTATTGAGAGTTTTTATTTTTATTTTTACGCAAACTATTACTTGTGTATAAATAATAATATGTAATAATAATTTTTAAACAATGATTATTTATAAATAATAAGAGTTTTCATTAAAATAATTTTCAGTATGTGTATGCATCAGAAAGTTTTAGTTGGAATTAAAATAAAACCGAGTAGCGTTCAAATTCTTTCGATTTTGTAATTTTCCAAACTGAACTGAAGCAGGTTTACAATTTTATAAGAGATTATATCTTTCACTTTTTTTGAGTATGAATCTATTCATTATTCGAAGTCATTTTACGCAGCTCTTATTAGTCATATTACAGAGTTTGACCATTTATAACCAAACTATTATTTATGTATAAAAGACAATTTATATCTAAATAATTTATGTATAATAGTTTATATATAATAATAACTTTTGTACTATGATAACTTATAAATACTAACACTTTATATAAAAAAATATTCAACATATGCATGAATCTGGAAAATTTAGTTGGAACCAAAATAAAATTGAATGACGGCTAATAAGTCGTCCGATTTTGTGACTAATTTTGCAAACTAAATGTCACAGCTTTACAATTTTGTAAGACATAACATCTTTTACGTTTTTGAGAGCAATAATCTATTCATTATTCAAAGTCATATTATGAAGGAAGTTTATTTTTCAATTTTAGATTTAAAATNTTATGGTCTGGGGTGCCATTTCCTTTGACAGCCGGACCTCTTTGGTCGTCATTAGAGGTACACTTACTGCACAGCGGTACGTCGACGATATCCTAAGACCTGTTTTGCTACCGTTCTCTTTGCAGCGCCCTGGGCTGGTTTTTCAGCAGGACAATGCCAGACCACATGCGGCGCGTGTTGCTATGAACAGTCTGCAAGCTTGTCAAACTCTTCCTTGACCTGCTAGATCACCAGATCTCTCTCCCATCGAGCATGTCTGGGATATGATGGGAAGGCGATTGCATCTGGCACGGAATGGCCTCATCCGACAATTGGATCGAATTTGGCAGGAAATACCGCAAGATACCATCCAGGAGCTTTATCGGTCTATGCCACGCCGTGTGGCAGCTTGTATCCTGGCTAGAGGCGGGTCAACACTTTATTGAACTTGTTACTGTAACTCTGCAATAAATTATTCAATTGTTCTGAAATTTTAATCATTTACTATTCTGTATATTGTCTTCTTATCCACCAGTTTTTGTTTCAATTGGACAACTCCTTCTTGTTGCGTCGATTTTTTTGTTATAGAGTGTATTAATTTTTTAAAATCATATTATGGAGGAAGCTTATTTTTCAATTTTGGATTTAAAACTATTCTTTTATATCTGAAAAGTGAGTTTTTAACAAAAAGAAAGTCTACGTTTCAAACAGCTAAAGTCGTCCGACTTTGTAATTTTCCAAACTAAATTGTCACAGCTTTACAATTTTGCAAGATATTACATCTTTTACATTTTTTGAGAGTAATAATCTATTCATTATTCAAAGCCATATTATGGAGGAAGTTTATTTTTCAATTTTAGATTTAAAATTGTTCTATTATATCTAAAAATTGAGTTGTTGATATTTGAGTTGTTAACAAAAAGAAAGTCTAAGTCTGAGCCACTCTTTTTGCTCAGATTTTTCACTTTGGGTGTTTATGATGGATGGTTGCCTGCAAATAACAATGAAGCCGACGCCTTACAACTAATTAATGTTCTTCTGGACTTATTCTTAACGGGTACTGACTGACAAGGTCGTGATCCTAGTATTCAATTCACAAAGCTATTTTTCCTTTTAATATTCTTAACCTCGCCAAATTTCCTGATAATTCTCAGCCACAGTCCTTTACACAACCTTTAGTTCATTTTTATCAGTTTTATTTTCTTGGGAAAACTGAAAGTGTGATTTTACTAAACTTTTGATTGGGAAATAAACATTTAAATAAAAGTAAAGGCCATTTGAAAATTTAAAACTCTATTTCATATGAATATAAATATGAAATTTTATTTCTGTTCTTTGTTTTTCTTTCTTCTTTTTTACAAAGTTTTTGCCAATATCTAAAGGAAAATTTAAATGTAACAATTTTAAAATTTAGTTATTCATAAACTGTATCTGAACCATTCTAGCCCACAATTTTCCTCCTTCTATTAGTCGCTTGAAAATTCTGCTTTTTAGAACTTTTTAAGTTTTTTGCCAAAAAAAATTTATGCATGTGTCAAAAAGTTGAGATTTCTCCATTAAACAACTATCTCAAAATATGCAAGCACAAGATCAGGTGAGCATGGTGAATGAAGTAGAATATCACACTCTAACCTACCAAACTCTGAGAATGTTTTTCGGGTTGTCAAGGACAAACGAGGCTGTGCATTTTTTGAAAAAACATTGCATCCTTTCTATTTGATATCTTCGTACGGTTTGAGGCAACTGCTCAGTTTGCAATCATTCTATTGTATTCTAAATTGGCCATTTAATGCTTACCAAAAATTGGCATGAATTTTCTGGACAACCCGCCCAAAACCTTTCAAACCTTCTGAAAATGTAAATATTTGTTTATACTTTGCTCTAAACACATAGTAAAATTAGTAATACAATTTTAAGCAAATAATAGTTTTCAGTATTTGAAGCCTTAAGAGAAATAACTATTCATGTCCGTTTTTCCCTAAAATGACGAATGAATCACCATCTGTTGCATTTTGAGGATTACTGAGTTTCGACAAATAAATGACGTAAAAATCTGTTCTCCCCGAGAGTTATTACTTTTTGAAGATAAGCGATGCTGGGGAATAGCAGTTCCTGCTCACGAGTAGACAAGCCGAACTAAGAAAAGTATAGTAAAGAAGATGACAGTAGTTCTACTGAGGAAGCATTGAATGTAAAGGAATTTCGAGGAAAAAACCGTTATTGTCCAACCTAATTTTCAAAATTTATTTTTTACTCAGCATAAAAAATAAAGTTTTATTTTGAAATTTTTAGAGGAAGTAAATAAGTGCTTGTGATTTTAATCGTATACTATCTCCATAACTGTCTCAAACATTTAAACTCCTTTCTTCTCAGAATCAGGTTTCATGAAATAATCCATCCCCTTGGTCTTCATTTTTTTTTCACCTGAAAACATAAATATCTCACGACAGTTTTGGTTTGGTTTGTGATCGAAGGTTTGAATTGTTCATTAGATTTATGAAGATCTCCCCTTTTTTATTACTCCTGTTAATTTTTCGTTTCGAGAATCTTTAACATCGCTTACAATTTCTAGAATACAGTTGCTTATGTTGAAATAATGATAACTTTAACAATATTGATACATGAAGCCCATATTCCTTTAGTTGATTGGGCCTGATTTAATATGTATAATTTGTTGTGAATGATCTATATCATTATTAAGAGCTTTTCGGTTCTACTGTCAATAAGTCTTGCGTGTTTGATACAGATTTATTCAAATAAAATTTGTTATAGTATTCCAACCTTAAAACAAGAATTGAAATCTGTGACAATATTAGTTTTTCCTGAAATTTTTCCATCGGAAATTTTGCCTTTGTTTTGTTCAATTTTTTGGTTCTGGTGACGCATTAATTTTTCAATACATTTCAAATTGTATTCCTATTATGAAGTTTACTCTTTCTGTTGATTTTATTGTTTTGTGGACTTTGTTTCTTCATCATTTCTTTTTATCTTCAGTAAATTTTATTTCCCCCATTTATTTCAGTAGGCTTCTTTCTTTTTTCGGAATTTTTTCATAAAATTGATTTCCTACCTTTAACTAAGTTTCTTTCTTTACCAGATTTTTTTTTTCTTAAATATAATTTAACAATTTATGGAAGAGCAATGTGTTTACAATAAATATTGTTTTCTGGAAACTTTATCTATGTGACTATGTGATGTAATCATTGAAAAACATTTTATTCGAAAAATGGGATACTTTTTACTTTTTCCTTAAGAATATATTGCAAATGAAAATTATGTAAAATCGATGGTTGAAAAAATCACTTAAACCTAACACATTTAATTTAAATTATCTTTCCAACTGTTAAAAAGTTTAAATTTGTCCTTTAGGGTCCCCCTGGACTCGTAGGACCACGTGGTCTTAGAGGACCCCCAGGACAGGGAGCGGTAAGTATTATTTTCCTTATTATCAAATTACGAGTAATAGTTCATTTGTAATGACATATTTCATTTAGAGGTTTTGACATATCAACGGCAAATATGCTCATGGTCTCAAATGAAGATAATTTACAAACATTTGGTAATTTACTATTAAAAAAAGTGTCTGAAATTGTTGCAGTTGTTATACCAGATATTATGAAAATATTAAATAAAATTATTTCTATTAAAATTTATGATATTTATTATTTCTGTTTTCTAAAACACTTTTTCAAGAGCATAAATATGTGCATATTTTTATGAAATTGTAATAATTTCAATTTTTTAAATCATAGCCAAAACTAAATAAAAATTCGGATCATCCCTTAAGTATAAGCCATTTTAGGTTTTTTTTTCAACAATAAATTACCTCCCTATGTACGTTATTATTGAATTACCTCCATATGCCTGCACAACACTCCAAAAATACTGATATCAACAGCAAAATTATATTATCCTTTATATAAATATATTGTCCTTGATCCTTAGAATATTGTCCCTTAAGTACAGCCATTTTAGGTTCCTTTTTTAACTATAAATTTCCTCTCTAAAAAATGAATTACGTCCCCGTGCATTACCTCCTTATGTACGCCATATTGAATTACCTCCCTATACCAGCCCAACTCTCTAAAAATACTGATATCAACAACAAAGTTATTGAAATTAACAAATTATCAACGTTTTTAAGTTACTAATATCCTTTTAAATGTATCAGAGCACGAAAAGAAGATTATAAAATCAGAATATTGTTTCTAAGTGTTACAATAATGTCCGACTAATCTGAAAACAATGCCTTAGGGTTCCTGTTGGAATAAAAATGATAAAAATAATAATTTTTGAAGTTAGTCTTTAAAAATCACGTAGTTTTACACAATAATACTTGTAAATTTTAAATCAAAACATTTGAATGCTATGATAAAATAGAATATTTGGAATCAAATTATATTTATATCAAATAATATTTTACTCTTTTTTTTAGGGTGAGGCGGTTCCTGGACCACCTGGCGAACCTGGTCCTCCTGGACCGCAGGTATGAATTAACTTTATTCCATTATTTTATCTAGTCTAAGTGCCTTTAGATTTATGAGAGTTCCAATTAGCGCGTTTAGATCATCATTTGTGGAAATAAATCATCATGGTATTCAACGCTCTGTCATGCAGATTGCTTAACTCGTTCTCTTAAGTGAATAAAATGAAGATACGATTATGCTTGGTAATTTAAGGCGATTGTGAACCATTTAAGAAATTCGTGACTTAAAACGTGCATTCATAAATTACAATTCACAAATATTAATCATTGCATAAATTAATAAAACGTGTATTTTTAATTTAGTAGTTTATAAACTAAACCTATTTTAGATTTCTATCTATATGAAATATTTTTTTGTAAATAAGACAATGAATTGTTATTAAGCAGTTATGCAGAGAAAGCAAACTGAGTTTTGTTGTAATGGGTATTAAAATAGTATAAAGCCTCGAAATTTGCTAACTTTTTGAATGAAAATTTTCTATTAACTAAAAAACTACTAAATTAAAAGTTTCTAAACTTTCAATTTAGTAGTTCATAAACTGAAATTATGTTGGATTTCCTTCGAATAGTAAATAGATTTTTTTGAATAATTGGCAAAGAGAATGACCCGTTATTAAACAGTTTTGTAGAAAAAGTAAATTGTGTTTTTTTTTGGTGCATTAAAATAGGATATAAGTTACTAAACTTTAATTTAATAGTTTATAAACTGAAATTCACTAATATAAATTCTTAGCAACTTAAAAATTCTCTAATATAAATTTTATGCAAATACTATATTTATACAAATACTAGTTGACTTTATACAAATAATATTACCTAATTCGGGTGTGGAAATTTCAAATATAAAATTAGTTTTGTTCGAAATGCTACAGATTCTTTTTTCAAAACGATATTTTTATTTTATGAAGAACGTATTGGTTTATTTACCTATAAATATACTTGTCTGCTTTGAAAATAACACTTAAGACAAAAAACATATGATCTTAACGTATTGCATCACAAACTGAAATGTATTATAGCTTTCCTCCTACCACTCCTTACGTAATAGAGAAGAGGGGTAACTTATTATTCACTCGATGGAATTTTAAAGAAAATGCTTGGTTGGAAATATGCTATTAAATTGCATAAAAACTTTAGCTTGTAGAGAGAAACCGGTTGCATATTTGAAATCAGCGACGCATAAATATCCAAGATCCTTTCCAAAATCTCATGCAACGGGGGAAAAATTGTTTTCAAGTGTAATTTATAAATTGTAAAATGATGTTGATTTTTATCAAATCAAAATGACTTAAATTCCTCTCATATATGCATATAAAGCCAGTAGACATCATTATCGTTATTATTATTGTACTCTGTATCGATGTAGTTTTAAGCGGATTCATGTTATATTTTCAGGGAGAACAAGGCTTGCAAGGAATTCCTGGAGTGTATGGCTTAGCTGGGCAAAAGGTAAAACTATATCTGTGACTTATTTGAAAATTTTTTTTTTATAGTTTTGCAAAATAGTATGTAATTGTCATATTTTGATCAGTGAAAGGAAAGAAAATCAAATTTTGAAGTAACAGTTATGGGAATTGTTAATCAAATCACTGTAACGAAAAACATGAAACTAAACTACTTACTGCAGTATTTTAAACAAACTTTAAAAAAGTATTAAAAAATTTAAAAAAATTTATTGGTTCTTCTTGAAAATTGCAGCAGATATAGATAGCTATTTTCTGTAAATGAAGTTCTCATAAGTTAACAATAAATATTTATTCTTAAGCTATCAATGTAATTTTTTTGAAATACTCTGAAGCTCTTATGAAATAAAATTTTAACCAATGTTTTCGTACACCGTGGTTCATAAATATTAGGAATGTTGTGTGCGTGTTTTTTTTAATAAAAAGAGCGAGCGATAAATTGTTTAAACATTATATTGGTTGCAATACAAACAATCCCTTGTTATGATACACTTAAAAACACAATGTTTCTTAGTCCTCATAATTACAGTTAATTAATTAAATATATTTCAAATATTTGTTACACATATTGGTTCAGAAATAGAAGGGCACAATTACTACTAATTCAAATGTCAAAAATAGTAATTAATTTTCAGTAGAAGATTTAAATTTCTTACTCTAAAACTACCATTGAAATTCATTTAGAAGAGCAAAAAAAAATTTTCATCTGCACATAAGTTTTAAGAAGCGGTGTAAAACGTGGTTAAGGTTTGTTAATTCGAAATATTTCTGCGAAGATAAGAAGATTTACAGATGATGTTTAACCATTTGTAGCATAATTTTTATTAAACATACTTTTCATGTTTTTATCCTTATTTTATATTAATTTAGGTCAAAATAAGTAAAAATTATTATATTTAGCTATTTAATAATTTATGGTTATAAAATAGAGCATGATATATCGGTTTTTTTTTTCTGCATTAGAGGTAAATTTCTCCAAACATGGTTCACTTTTGAGCAGTAATGTTTCAAATTTGAAAGATAAAGTCTAAGAGGAATAGTTATTCATCACTGAAATTTCTTGACATTTTTTATGGTCTATTTTAGGGTGAAACTGGAGGAAGAGGAGACAGAGGGATACCAGGACGTAGAGGTCTGCCTGTAGGTAACTGGTTCTTACTCCCTGGTTTTAATATTTTTTATTTGTTGCATGAATATCAATGAATGCAATAAAGGCTCTGCTACAGATACTATTTTGGGGAAATATAATCTAAACATTCGGTATTTATTGTATTATATGCCTTACATTTGACTTTAAGGGATAAAATATATTCTTCTTAAAAAATAGTTTGATTGTCTTCTTCAAAACTCGTTATGCATTAACTTACAAAATTAGAACAAGTCTTTCTATAGAGTAATCTACTGAAAAAATATATTTTATTATATAATTACGCAAGAAATTATTTTTCTTCTAATAGTAAAGAATGAAGAAAGTAATAAAATGTAGCATCTGCATATTAGTATCATCAATTCAGATCAATGTTTTAAGAAAGAGAATGGTTTTATTAGTTAGAATTCCTTTTTAATATACTTCTAGAGGGATTTGTATGAATATAGTTTTTATTTTTTAAAAATTTACATGTGATGTATTCTTGTGTATTCGAAAAAAATAAAACTGGATAAATTAATAGGTTTACTGCATATTAGTATCTCAGTTAACAGCGCAAGTCTATGGTCAATTTTGAGGCGTATAAAGAGCTTTTGTAAAATAATAATATATATATATATATTTGCAAATCAACTTTTCTAATTTCGGATTAGGCGTTGTCACGAAACTAAGACAATACGGAATTTGTTCGATCATTAGTTAGGAGATGGTACAAAAATTTCTTTACAAAATGATAAGATGCATGTAAATTGCCAAAATTATAATAATAATAATAAGTATTAGGTCCTATAAGCAGTAAAGGCGAAATAACATTCGATGACTTTAAACCTATAAATATTGTAATGAAAGGGAAAAAAAACAAGACAGTGTAAAGTTATTTTGTACTATAATTACCTTCACTTATACCAAATTATACTCTGAGTCTCTATCAAGCTGTTCCTCGAAATAAAAAACAATGAAAATGCAATATCCGAAAGCACTCTTTTTTGTGGATGTAATCGTGTGAGCTGATGACAAGATTATATCTCTTCCTTCTTCTGTTTTCCGGCTTTTTAATTTTTTCTAAAATAATTTTTAAAAAACATTTTATTTTCTAATAAGTTTTCTTCTTTTTTTCGTTAATTTTCTTTTATTCCTTCTTGTATTTATTGTGTTATATATATATATATATATATATATATAAAGAGAGAGAGAGAGGGGGGAAGGTAGATTACATCAATTTTCTTTTCTTCTATGAATAAGGCTACACGTAAGTTATACAATATGCTTAAATAGCATAGTGCTATTTTTTAAAAAAAAATAGAAACTCTGCTAATAAAGAAAAAAAATCTTTATAATCAAATAGCTGAATACCTGATTTTAATATTGTTCATTTAATTTTTAGGGAATAAAAGGTGAACCTGGAATTGTCGGAAAACCTGGTCTACCAGGTCCACCAGTAAGTATACTCCTCATTATCTTAATTAGATTACACTGCTTTTAAGGACCACTTTATGTATATCGGGTGTACTAAAAGAATGACCCATCATTTATAAGCAAACGAAATAAAGCGATAAATGATACACACGATTTGATGAGCTCTGCTCCGAGAAATTTATTTTCATTATGTTTTGAAATTAGTTACTCAGTTGTTCAGCAGATGGCTGTCTAATGTAAAACAATGTTTTCAGGATCATAACTTTTAAGATTTCTTTATCACCGATACCCCTTTGAAGCAGTAAAAACATGTCCTTATTAATAATGTTAAACTATAATAATATTTGTTGATAGGATATCCAAAAATAAAATCGCAATTACATATCTACGCTCTCATTTCAACACTCGTTAATAAATTTTTATACAAATTCCATGACATTATCTTAAATATCAACTCTTTAAGTAGTTATTAATAACAGTCTAAAGGGTTAATATGATATAAAGTATGCTTCACTAAAAAAAAAAAAGCTTTTGAGAATTGTATGCTTCTATTGATGGATATAAAAAATGTTTATGAGAAAAAACTAGACAATGAAGGATCGCGATATGAAGGAATTGCGACAAGTAAATAAAAATTACATTTCATCACTTGTTGATTTATTCTTGCGTGTCGACTTCACAAAAATCACCTGTCTATAATCTTAACATAATGTTGGTTATTACGTTGTAATCATGTAATCTAAAAGAGGTATTTTTCTCCGATGTAAGTAATTATTTTTTTCTTTTGCTGTGTGGTCAATATTTCGTTTATATTTGAATTGCCTGAGGAAAATCCTCAATAATTGAGTAATAAATAAAATTGTCGTTGTTCCTAATTTTTTAAATTTTATTTTGAATATTGTTTCAATAACGGTTAATAACTTAATTTCTGTGCCATTTTAATTCAAGTACTTTAAATTTTGCTTAATTGCGCATTTTCTCGAAGTTTAGTCTGTTCTTCGAATGCTGTATTGCATTCGATATACATTTGCTCTAAGTTTAGTCTGTTCTTCAAATGCTGTGAAGTAAATGCAGCGACACCTTGTGATGCTGTAATGTTTAGTCTGTTCTTCGAATGCTGTCACACGAAGAACAGACTAAACATTACAGCAAATAATATGCTGTTGCTGATAATTTCGGAAAATAATATGCTGTTTTTATTCTATTATGGGCTTGTAATAATTACATTGGAAAACAAACTTTTTGTTGTATTTATACAAATTCTTTATCTTATTTGAATTTCTGATCTTCTGGGTATTTCAAATTTGAAATTAGTTTTTCTCCTGACACCACAGTTTTTTTTAATGACATTTCAATCTCATTTTTTGTCGAAATATACAAGTTTAAAAACTTTGTGTATATAACAGAAGGTCGCGTAAATGTTGCTACAATGCTCTAGGGTAGTTAAGGCACATCACCAGGATTAAAATTGCACTGGAAAACTTGACCGGAATGTCGTTGTACGCGACTAGTTGCGTTTCCTATCATGACCCGATCAGAAGCTAATGATTCATAATAGGAAAGCACCCCTAGCAACGTATGACGACATGCAATTTCAATTCTAATTATATGTCCTAACTCCCTGATGTTTGTCGCATCATTTATGCAGCCCTCTGTTATGTATATAATGTTTTTAAACCTGTTCACTTCGACAAAAAAAAATATACTATTTTTTAAAGGAAAAACAGTATCTTAGAGAGAGAAACCGATTGCAAATTTAGATCAGAGCGAAAGTATCTAAAATCTGTTGAAAAATCTCAAGGCAAAGGAGAAAAAATAAATGCCCTCCAGTGTTTTTTATGATTGTACAGTGTTGTCCATTTTTAACCAGCTCCTTCGATGATAATTATAAATATATAAATTATAAAAAAGCCATCATTTTGTGAAAAAGGAAAAGCGTCACATAAGTGAAAAGTGTTAGTAAGAGTTGAAAAATTACTCCTACACTGCATTGTTGCGCCGCTACGATATGCTGAAATTTTATGCTGTTTTATAGCATGTTTAGAACCATAAAGTAATTTCTAAAAAGAAGAGCAATTATAGAAAATAATCGTTAAACGACTGGAGAAGAAGTAAAATTATATTACGGAACGCAAAATTGCATGGCGGAAATCAGAATTTCAATTGACGGTTTTAATCCGTTAGTGATTCGAGTGAAAAATGGAGAAAAACCGTTTTTGCCGCAAAACGGCTTTAAACCGTTAAATATACGGAGAAATTTCGAAAAAAACAACAACATGAACTTCTTACAGTGTGTTAGTTTGATTAATAATTTATAGAATTTATATGTAACCTTTCATCAGGTCATGAAAAATCACTCGTATTTCCGAGATCCATTATTGCAAAATGCTAATTTTTAATAATGTAATTATTAAAAATCATATTGTAATTATTCAAAGGTTAATACAATCGCAATATTTAAAAGCCATTTTTCAAGCAATAAAAATGTAGTTGAAACAACGCAAAGAACTAAAACTCCCAAAATTTCTTAATTTTTCTAAATAAAATGTGGAAAAATGATTTGTTTTGACTGACTTACATGGTTATTAACATTCTACTTAACTCTGAAAATAAAAAGGTCTTTATAGCCAAAATGTATAAATCACTTTAAGTGTGCCTGTTAAAAGCTCTTGAATGTCTTTATTAAAAATAATCCATCATTTCCTCAAGTTTATTACGCAATACTTCTATGAATAAGGTTNNNNCGCAAAATAAAAAACTGATCACCCTGACTAACTTTTGATCTAATGATGTGATCTTCACTTACTAGGACTCAAACGAGGGGAGACCTTAATTTTGTTAATAAATAATATGCTAATTAATCGATATTTTAAATCAATTTAGAGAAATTAAGGGAAAGAACGTTTAAATGATATAGCATTCCAATACCTATATCTGCTATTTTATAAGACATATTTATGACTGATATGTTTCATCATTTAATAAAAATAAAAATAAAAGTGTTACTCTATAAATGTCTTATACGATCAGTGCTTACATATGCATGTGTTACCTGGACAATGACCCGTGGAGATGAAAATATGATAGCTAGATTTGAGAGAAAAATACTGCGAAGCATTTTTGGTGGAATAACTAAAAGCGGTACCTAGTTTAGAAGATCAAACACGGAACTTTACAAAGCATATAAAGAATCTGATGTCTTGATGATGTGAGCATGATGCCGGAGGGAAGAATGTCTTGGTATAGGCTTGTTGAGAAGGCCAAGGCCCATCCTGGACTGTCGTGCCAATGAGAAGATGACATCATTTATATATTTAAGTTTGACGACTTTAATTTTTTTATGATATACTTTCTCTGCCATTATCTCTCATATAACAACCTTTTAATGAACAGATTTTAGTTCCTGTTGATTTGTAATTCTGCTCCTGTTGAGAATTGCGCTTAAATATGTGTGAAAATCAAGCTATTAAATAAACAGTTGTGCAAAACGTTTTCACATCCTAAACATTTTGAATCAGAGGTTCCCCTTTTTCTTCGGTTACGGAACCCTAAATGATCGAGCTTTTATTGGCGGAACCCTGACTTTAGAAAAAGCTCATTAGAAGCGGGAAAAATGCTAGAAAAAAATTAATTTGGAAACATTTATGGTGAAGAATTAAATTTATTAATTATTGCATCAATAATAGTGTTATAATTAGATTTTATATTAGTTGGTTGAATTCATTATTCAGCAGTGTTTTTTCATCGAGCAGTTTTTGGCGTGAATCAAATTAAATAAAATAAGCTGAATTATGGTTTCTGTAAAAAAATTTTTTTTTTTAAACTGTTAGAATGGATTAAGAAAAATAACTCTTTACTCTTGAATTTTGTTTCTTTAGTTCGAGTTTTAAAGTTCCATGAAAAATAAGATAAATAGATGAAAAATAATAAGATGAAAAATAATTGTGGAAAAATAATTTTTTTTTTCAATTTCATTCTTTTTCATTGAGTAATAACCGAAACATTAAATAAATTAGGCTGGTCATTTAAAAGTTCGGAAAGTAGTTATTGGTTAAAATAGAAATCCCTAAACTCATGGAACCTCTGAAGATTTTCACCGGAACCCTGGAGTTCCGCGGAACACGTTTTGGTTTATATTCCTGAAATATTATTCATAATATATACGCCAACTTTTTTCTCACTCACCTCACATAACTGACACCATAATATCTTTAATTATTTAATCATCAATTCATTACGAGGTGCACGATATGAATATTCAGTAATAATGTGCCATAATTAATTATTTACAGATAATTTATTCTTATTTGATTATTCCAGGGAGTTCAAGGTCCTCCAGGGGAACAAGGAGAGCCAGGTCCTAAAGGAAAACCGGTAAATGATGATTTTCATATTCATCAACCTTCCCTTATTGACCTTTACTCTGATTTTCATTTAAAAGTCTTTCTAATTTAAACTTGAAAATTTTCGCTCGTTAAGAATGTATATTGATTTGGTCTCTCAATGTGATTACCAATAATTAAATTACATTTTTAGAAAAAGTAAAAATAACTTTAAATCATTTCTGAAATTAAAATAATTTTTTTTTGAATTATATAAATTTCATATGATTTTAAATTGTAAGTTATATTGTAGTAAGTGTTTATAACTAGTTAAATTTGAATATTGAGTTGTGAACAAGGTCAGAACAGGCCTAGTAACCATAATTCTTAAAAATGGTTCATAAAAAAATGAATTCGATTAACATGTAAACTATGTTCATATAATCTTGCAACTATAATTCTAGGGTGAAAAGGGCTCTAGAGGAGATGCTGGATACGAAGGACCACCTGGATCGAAGGTATGCTTTAATGTATATAATTATCACACCATAATTTTTTTTTATTATGGTCATTCACTTTTTATGCTGTTTGAATAGTTTAAATTAATTATTTAAACAGACAGCGGCTAAGCATCATTTTTATAAATAGACACGTTCTTAGATGAGACATAGTTGAACTTTCTCCATTTGATTTGAAGAAAAATTAATTATACATTAATATACATATGTATGATGTTAATACATATCAGGACTCGAAAATTATATTGCCGACTTCCCCAGGGCATATAAATACTTCTATCGGGCACTTTCCCGATAGTGCATATAAATATTTTATCAGAAATACTATGAAATACTGATTAAGGACCCTAAAAATTTGATCAAAATCTCCATGATGCCGAATACGGCGAATAACAAACAAGGGAGGAGAAAAAAAATCGATTATACTAAATAATATCTAAATGTTCTGGAATTAATTGCATGAGTAAGAACTTAGTATACAGAGTTAGCTAATTCTTTTTTATTCGTCTAGTTATTCTTAAATTTATCAACCCCTTCTAATGTAATAAAATAATTATATAATAAAGTAATTAAATAGTAAAATAAATATATAATAAAATAATTATGTAATAAAATAATTGAATAATAAAATAAATATATAATAAAGTAAATATATAATAAAATAATTATACAATAAAATAATTATATAATAAAATAATTATATAATAAAATAATTAATATAAAAGTGTATAGTATGGTTTATATATAACTTGTGGAAGTGCATGCTTTTGCCGATTATACTATTTCGTTAAAACTAATGCTTTACATTTACTCTATAAATTCTTATTCGTGGTTAATAATAATACTAGTTAATATACGTCTGATTTAAGTATACTAATATTGAAATAACAGTATTAATACGTATTAAGGCCTTTTTCTTCTTAGGTGATATTTTGAGGTGATTTTAGATGATAGAGATATATTTATTATTTTTTTAGGGTGATAAAGGAGACAGAGGAGACGCTGGTTATTCTGGAGGTGATGGTCAAAAAGTAAGACATAAAATTAATTTCACTATTTAAATACTTCTTATTTATGAACTAGTTATGCTGAACTAGTTTTTTATAAAACAATTTGGATTATCGTATAAAGTATTGAGCTTACTGTTTCAAATGTAAGTTATTATGTTTTGTGGAGGTTCCTCAGTGGCAAAAGCTAAACTGCAAAAATTTTAGAGTATAGAAGAAATTTCTGAAGTGATTTCAATTTGAAATAAAAAATATTTAAAAATCTGTTTATTTTGAAGATTTTATAATGTTGGTTGACATTGATTTTCTATTTTTCAATAATTATGGAATAGCTGTTGTCGTTGAGTGATTTATTTTTGTTGATTGGTTTTCAAATAGGTTTGATATTTTAGTTTTTAAAGTTTCATAAAGTATTCTTAACATTCAACATGCAAAACCTGCTGTCAATAACTGCAAAATAATATATGTGGCCTAACTTAAGAACGGCTCAAAGATAAAAACATTCCACTGTTTAATTCAATGGAAAATTGATTTCTAATAATATGTGATATGAAGTTATAAAAATTAGTATTATTTTTGCTTGATTGAAGGATTTAAAATGCAAGAACTTTAAATTTATCACAATGTTTTGGCAGCATTTAATCCATTTGGATCCATTTTAATACTTTTGCATGGTTTGCTTACATAACTGTGATATATATGGTGTGATTTGATATTCCATTGTATTGTGGGTTTGCACAGTATTTCATTACTATACAAATAGTGTGGTTTGATATTCCATAGCATTAAAGGTTTGATTAGTATTCTCTAACTTAATGCTGAAAATTGTGTTTGAAACTTTCAGAACTTTGTATTCTAGAACCAGGATCTTGTGTTTATAAAAAATAGAGATAATAAGTTGGATATAGATCGAAAAATTACCCTTATTAGGTATAATAACTATATAAATTCTCAGAATTTTTTTTTGCACATTGATCATGTAATCAGTGATTTGAACCACTAGGAGCACAGACATTTGCGGAATCATGCGGAAAATTTACACGATCTGTAAATTTTCCGCATGATCTGTAAATTTTCAGCACGATCTGTAAATTTTCCGCATGATCTGTAGATTTTCCGCACGAAAACGATCAACATTAAATCGGATAAATTTTCCGCAATCTTAATAAAATGTTGCTCTAAAACATGTGGAAGGAGATTTTTGTATAATCAAGTTGCAGAAAGATTAATTTTCTAGATAATATGGTTAAACTCAGTATCTTATCAAAGCTGATGAGAATTTGAATGATATTGTGGTTTCACAATGGCTCAGACCAAAATTTTCTAACAGTGTACGAATGCACTATTTTCTTCAACATTACTTGAAACCTTGAATGGTTGTTTAGTTTTTTAACTACCTCGATATGTCTACTGTATAAGGTTACTTAGTTTCGGAAGTATCTTGCTTAATTAATAGAAACTAAAATAAGGAATAATTGTAACATCCGCCAAGAACTTTTTTCATTTGAGTTACTGCATCAAAATGTGGGTAAAAGATGCTCTAGAAATTAGCAAAAAATGTAACCCTTAAAAAAAGAGTTAAAGAGGAAGGCATTGGGCTTTTTAAGTGAAAGAGTGTGAAGTTATTTAGCTACTTAATTCTCTTAAAAGTAACTAAGCGTAGTCCTACAATGACCTTAATGAGGTGTCATTAAGAAACGGGTAATGTCACTATACTAATAAGGTTCTAAAAAAGAAACTTTGTTCATTTTATAATGAATATTTGCAGATAAAAAAAGGGTTAAACTCACACGTGTGATATTTCTTAAAGTCACGTCTGTTACATATTTCTAATAAAGCCAGGCCATTATTACATCATTACATTAAATTCTAAAATTAGTGAATTTTGCATGAAAAATGACTTTTTTGTATAATAATGGAAATTTATAGGATTAAAAATTTTTTAATTACTAAACCAATCTGCTTAAGCCAACTTCATCTCGAACTTTTTGAAAAGCCCTACAAATATTAAATAATACTAATGTAAATTGGTTTTATTTTCTTAATGATTTTATAAATTTAATATTTTTTTATTGATTTTTATGAACTTCTTTTCCTATTATAGATTTTATAAATTAAATTCTCCAATTATTATTGTTTTTAAAGTGTTTTTTCACAAATGGTAGCATTGAGATTTTATTTTCTATTTTTACCAATTATTTTATTCAATAAAGCTAAAATCATTTATATTAAATTTTCTTGTGTATATATATGCACCGAAGAGCTATTAGATTATGACCCCCCTCCATCGATAACAATGGGCTCGCCCAGGTTTTCATGGCTTTTCATCCAGGAACAATGCTTTCATGGGACACATTAGGACCCATAATCATCATAGAACAATCCCTGAGGTCTGTAAGCTACTTGAACATAGTTGCAGACCAGGTTCACCCATTCATGGCAACAGTTTTTCCTGCGGGGGATGGTGTTTACCAACAGGATAATGCACCATGTCATAAGGGTCGAATCGTCATGGATTGGTTCGAGGAACATTCCAGTGACTTTCAAGTCATGTCTTGGCCCCCAAATTCACCTGACCTTAATCCAATAGAGCATTTGTGGTCCTACTTGGAAAACCAAATTCGTGCTGCCACGCTACCCCCTCACAATGTGAGGGGATTGCGGGACCAGCAGGTGAGCGCTTGGTACCAGATACCTCAGACTACCTATCAGCACCTTGTGGAACCAATGCCATGTCGGGTGCTAGCAGTTTTGAGGGCTAAAGATGGTCCTACTTGTTATTAGCAGGTGATCATAATGTAATGGCTCTTCGGTGCATATATATATACATAAAGACCGATAGAAGATTGATTTGAGTGTCTAAATCTTTTCTGATTTGCTTTCAGACTTTAAGATCTAAAACGAAGAATAATATTTGAAAAAAACTGTTCTTAAAAAATGTTAATTCTAAACACAATATTAATTATTATTAATATGTTTTTTATAAGTTATACTAGTATGTTTTGTAACTAATACTATTTTTCAAATCTCAAAGTATACAAGTTTTACATTTTACAAAATTTATATTTAACTAATGTTGTAATTTATAAAAATAATTATGTTTTGCAAATTCAACAATTAAACTTATAATTTAGGGTGCAAAGGGAGATGAAGGCCGAACTGGAGAAAGTGGATCGCAAGGGGAGAGAGTAAGTGATTTTGATTATTTTTAATGTAGCATAAATAGTGGTGTCTAACTAGATAATGACAGTGTAACATAAATTTGATATAAAATATGAGATTTATGAAAGCTTTTCCCAAAAGCAGTCTATCTTGTTTAAAGATGAGAATTCCAATTGAAAACTTAAGTTGGTCAGAATTTAAATTATTTGAATTCAAGTTAATAAATATTTTTAAGATATTTCAACTATCACTTTTTAAGACTTTTCACCTATTAAATCTGAAGACCTTTTCAAGGCTTTTCACCATTTACTATTTTATGTTTGGTAAAGTGGATCGCCAAGTGAAAGAATTAGTTATATTGAAAATTTTTGACTATGTAGTATAAATAGTGACATATAACAAGTTAATGATTCCAAGTGTAACATAAATGTTGATATAGAATATTAAAATTTATGTAATAAAATAGCTTTTCACAAAATCAGTCCTGCTAAATTCTGCTAAATCCTGCTAATTGGAATCCTGCTAAAAACAAAGATGAGGATTGCAATTCCTAACTTATGTAGGTCAGAATTTAAGTTACTTCTGCTATTATTTTTAAGACTTAAAGACTTTTCACCTTTTACCTTTTTATATTCTCCATGGAATTTTAATCATATTTTTTTCATTAAATTTAATGGAATTTTTATAAATGATAATGAAGGTTTTAATTAGTGATAATAACACAAAAATAATTTCCGGTATTCAGTAAATTTGACAATAGCATATGAAAGTAAGAACAAAATTATTTGACTATAAGAACATTTTTGACAATTATCTATTTAAACAAAAATAAAATTTAAATTGAATTCCGAAAATTATATGGATATAAAAATTATTAACCTTTTGTCGCAGATGGGACACCAATGTCATTCAAACATATATTTTTATGACACTCTAATTACAAGTAAAAATATAATATGATATTTTTTATTAATAAAAAACAGTCTAATAGTCACTATAAAAATCTATTAGAATATCAGAGTTATATTTGTACTAAAATGTAAAATCTAGCAAAAGTTGTTTGAAAATCATTTTTTTCATTCATATTTAAAAAAAATTATCAATAACTGATTTTGTAAATAAAAGAAATTTCAATAATAAATAACTGTTTCTTTTAAATCTAAATACTACAAATAAGTGCATATTTGAGAAAAAAAAATTGATTAGAAATAAGCCTTGTTAGGATCTTTAACGTAGTTACCTTAAACTTTTAATTTTACCTTTGACGTAGGAAACGACTCCGGTGTTTCATGCTTTATTTCAAAATGCTAAATATATTTTTTAAAACTTATTTTGACTTAAATTAAATGAAAAATGTATGAAAGATATGTTTAATAAAAATTCTGTGTCAAATGATTAAAGAACAAAGGAAAACAAATTTCAGAATGCTGGTAAGAGAAAATTCCAGGGTATATAACAAAGACAATATTAGACTTAAAATAAGAATTTTTATTAAAAAACAAAATTTTTGAACAAAAAACAATTTGCGTAGAATCCATTAGAAGCATTAATTAATTTGTTACTGTGTCAAATTCTGACTTTGATGGAAATGTAAAAATCAATTAAAACACAGATTTACGAAGAGGCACCGGCGAGATTCGAACTCACGATCTCCTGTTTACTAGACAGGCGCTTTAACCAACTAAGCCACGGCGCCACGGTTTGAGTGAAAACGAATAAAAATGAATTTCTGACCAATGTGGGTTTTTAACCAGGAACCTCTTGATTCGTTTCTTATGCATTAAATTTCGTTGCTCTTGCCGTCATCTTTTTGTATGCAATGTTAAGGTTTTTGATTAAGCTTGGAGACATTGCAATGTATACAGAAAATATATAACAAAGACAATATTAGACTTAAAATAAAATTCTGTATCAAAAAACACAATTTCCGAACAAAAAACAAAATTTGTGTAGAATCCATTGGAAGCATTCATTAATTCGTTACTGTGTTAGATTTTGACTTTGATGGAAATGTAAAATTCAATAAAAGGCACCGGCGAGATTCGAACTCACGATCTCCTGTTTACTAGACAGGCGCTTTAACCAACTAAGCCACGGCGCCACGCGAAGTAGTTAAACGAATGAAAATAAATTTCTGATCAATGTAGGATTTTAACCAGGCAGCTCTTGATTAGTTTCGTGTGCATTGAAGTTCATTTTCTGTTATATTTTTCTAGTGCAAGGTTAAGTTTCCTTAAATTGCTTGGAGACATTACAATGTATACAAAAATTTACAATATTTGGACTCAAACTAAAAATAGTTTTGTTAGAAATAAAATTCTTATGCTACATTTGTTATTATTTCCTTATAACATTATGACGTGTATTGAAATACATGTAAACAATCTATTTTACAGGGATTTCCTGGTGTTCCTGGGTTAAGAGGAGAACCTGGACTTGTTGGATTTCCAGTAAGTTTCTTAAATAAGTTTTAAAATCTTAATATATATAAAATGTATTAAAATGCTCTCATGGTGCTTCGAACATCATTTATCTATGTAAACAAAACATGTAATATATTTGTTTTTGTTATACTAGGGACCAGCAGGACCTGGAGGACCACCGGGAGTATCTGGACCTCGAGGTGAAAAGGTATTTGTTCATGTATTTTAAACATGTATTGAACCATATTTTTAATTTACTTATTATCCCATAATCATCATA